AGAGAGCTCTCTAATTTAATTGTTACTAGTAAGAATGCAATTGCAGAGCTCTTTAATTCAATTAAAGAGCTCTGCAATTACATTCTTACTAGTAAGAATCGAATTAGAGAGCTCTCTAATCGCAATTGTTACTAGTAAGAATTGAATCAGAGAGCTCTCTAATTGTAATTGCTACTAGTACGAATTGAATTGTAAAGTTCTCTAATTAAATTTTTACTAGTAAAAATGAAATTACAACAAGTAAGGCTGGGTACAATTTAAGCTAAAACGGCTTGCCATTATATGGTTTGCCATCCTACTAGTAAGAATTGCATTAAAGAGCTCTCTAATTGAATTAAAGAGCTCTGCAATTGCATTCTTACTAGTAACAATTAAATTAGAGAGCTCTCTAAATCAGTTTTTACTAGTAAGAATTACATTAGGAGAGCTCTTTAATGCAATTATTACTAGTAAAAACTGATTTAGAGAGCTCTCTAATTCAGTTCTTACTAGTAAGAATGCAATTGCAGAGCTCTTTAATTCAATTAGAGAGCTCTTTAATGCAATTCTTACTAGTAGGAATTCAATTAGAGAGCTCTACAATTCAATTCTTACTAGTAGCAATTACAATTAGAGAGCTCTCTAATTCAGTTATTACTAGTAACAATTACAATTGCAGAGCTCTCTAATTCAATTCTTACTAGTAACAATTCCAATTAGAGAGCTCTACAAATGAATTCTTACTAGTCATATGTCTCCATTGACTTCCATTCATTTTTAATTACAGAGCTCTTTAATTGAATTGTTACTAGTAAGAATTACAATTAGAGAGCTCTACAATTGAATTGTTACTAGTAAGAATTACCATTAGAGAGCTCTCTAATTCAATTGTTACTAGTAACAATTACAATTAGAGAGCTCTCTAATTCAATTCTTACTAGTAACAATTTAATTGTAGAGCTCTCTAATTGAATTGTTACTAGTAACAATTACAATTGAAGAGCTCTGTAATTTAATTATAGAGCTCTCTAATTGCATTCTTACTAGTAACAATTCAATTAGAGAGCTCTCTAATGCAATTGTTACTAGTAAGAACTACAATTAGAGAGCTCTCTAATTCAATTCTTACTAGTAACAACTCAATTGCAGAGCTCTTTAATTCAATTAGAGAGCTCTCTATTTCAATTGTTACTAGTAAGAATGCAATTGTAGAGCTCTCTAATTGAATTATTACTAGTAAGAATTCCAATTAGAGAGCTCTCTAATCCAATTATTACTAGTAACAATTATAATTAGAGAGTTCTTTAATTCAGTTGTTACTAGTAAGAATGCAATTGCAGAGCTCTCTAATTCAATTACAGAGCTCTCCAATTATACATATCTTTAATTCGTTTTTTTACTAGTAAAATTTCAATTAGAGAGCTCTGTAATTGCATTCTTACTAGTAAGAATTGAATTAGAGAGCTCTCTAATTGTAATTGTTACTAGTAATAATTGGATTAGAGAGCTCTCTAATTGTAATTCTTACTAGTAATAATTGAATTAGAGAGCTCTGCAATTGCATTCTTACTAGTAAGAATTGAATTAGAGAGCTCTCTAATTGTAATTGTTACTAGTAAGAATTGAATTAGAGAGCTCTCTAATTGTAATTGTTACTAGTAAGAATTGGATTAGAGAGCTCTCTAATTGTAATTCTTACTAGTAATAATTGAATTAGAGAGCTCTCTAATTGTAATTCTTAGTAGTAACAATTCAATTATAGAGCTCTCTAATTAAAAATGAATGGAAGTCAATGGAGACATATGACTAGTAAAAATTCATTTGTAGAGCTCTCTAATTGCAATTGTTACTAGTAAGAATTGAATTAGAGAGCTCTGTAATTGTAATTCTTACTAGTAATAATTGAATTAGAGAGCTCTCTAATAATAATTGTTACTAGTAAGAATTGAATTAGAGAGCTCTCTAATTGTAATTCTTACTAGTAAGAATTGAATTAGAGAGCTTTCTAATTGTAATTGTTACTAGTAATAATTGAATTAGAGAGCTCTCTAATTGTAATTGTTACTAGTAATAATCGAATTAGAGAGCTCTCTAATTGTAATTGTTACTAGTAAGAATTGAATTGTAGAGCTCTCTAATTGAATTATTACTAGTAAAAATGTAATTACGACGAGTAAGGCTGGGTACAATTAAAGCTAAAACGGCTTGCCATACTGCAGAGCTCTTTAATTCAATTAAAGAGCTCTGCAATTACATTCTTACTAGTAAGAATCGAATTAGAGAGCTCTCTAATCGCAATTGTTACTAGTTAGAATTGAATTAGAGAGCTCTCTAATTGTAATTGCTACTAGTACGAATTGAATTGTAAAGTTCTCTAATTAAATTTTTACTAGTAAAAATGAAATTACTACAAGTAAGGCTGGGTACAATTTAAGCTAAAACGGCTTGCCATACTCTAATTCAGTTGTTACTAGTAAGAATGCAATTGCAGAGCTCTCTAATTCAATTACAGAGCTCTCCAATTATACATATCTTTAATTCGTTTTTTTTACTAGTAAAAATTCAATTAGAGAGCTCTGTAATTGCATTCTTACTAGTAAGAATTGAATTAGAGAGCTCTCTAATTGTAATTGTTACTAGTAATAATTGGATTAGAGAGCTCTCTAATTGTAATTCTTACTAGTAATAATTGAATTAGAGAGCTCTGCAATTGCATTCTTACTAGTAAGAATTGAATTAGAGAGCTCTCTAATTGTAATTGTTACTAGTAAGAATTACAATTAGAGAGCTCTCTAATTGTAATTGTTACTAGTAAAAATTCAATTAGAGAGCTCTGTAATTGCATTCTTACTAGTAAGAATTGAATTAGAGAGCTCTCTAATTGTAATTGTTACTAGTAATAATTGAATTAGAGAGCTCTGCAATTGCATTCTTACTAGTAAGAATTGAATTAGAGAGCTCTCTAATTGTAATTGTTACTAGTAAGAATTACAATTAGAGAGCTCTCTAATTGTAATTCTTACTAGTAAGAATTGGATTAGAGAGCTCTCTAATTGTAATTCTTACTAGTAATAATTGAATTAGAGAGCTCTCTAATTGTAATTCTTACTAGTAACAATTCAATTATAGAGCTCTCTAATTAAAAATGAATGGAAGTCAATGGAGACATATGACTAGTAAAAATTCATTTGTAGAGCTCTCTAATTGCAATTGTTACTAGTAAGAATTGAATTAGAGAGCTCTGTAATTGTAATTCTTACTAGTAATAATTGAATTAGAGAGCTCTCTAATAATAATTGTTACTAGTAAGAATTGAATTAGAGAGCTCTCTAATTGTAATTCTTACTAGTAACAATTCAATTATAGAGCTCTCTAATTGTAATTGTTACTAGTAATAATTGAATTAGAGAGCTCTCTAATTGTAATTGTTACTAGTAATAATTGAATTGTAGAGCTCTCTAATTGAATTATTACTAGTAAAAATGTAATTACGACGAGTAAGGCTGGGTACAATTAAAGCTAAAACGGCTTGCCATAGACGCTGGTCATGTGTGTGATGCCTGACTGTGACGTACAACACAAGCTGTTACACTTCATGAACTCGAAGAAAATGAATAGTTGAATAAAGTCGTTATTTTTGTTTGTTTTTGCAAGATATTTTGCATTTAATTTTCTCTTTCTTCTGTTACTGAGCTAACAAGCCAATCAAATTGTTTTATTGCACTCCTCATTTTTGTAGGTTACCTCTCATTATTCCCCACATCAAAGTCTTTGACATTAAGCAATTAATTGTAGGCTAGCCTAATTATAACGGTTGCTAACAGCAGATGAACTTGATTAAAATGTAAACAGAGTCTTTAAGCAATACACAATTGTCAAATTAGAGGTCGGGTAACAGGAATCTCCTTCAGATTTCCTAATTTCAAAATAAATAGTTACAAATAAATGTTAAATTTTTTAATATATACTTTGACTTTCAATTGAGCACAATTCTTTCTGACACAAATCAAATTACAGGACCAGAGCTAACTGTTATATGATTAATTTTCCCTTTTATTTTATTTGTAGATTCTTTAATAATGTGACTCCTCCCCTCTCCTTGAAATCATGTATTTGACATTTGATGGCCTGAATCTTGACCTATCATTCGTGGTTGATGACGTGTCTACCACCTCCCCTCGGCCTGCCCTGAATGAGCACGATGAAGAGTGCAGGAGCGGGATATGGGATAACGGGAACCGCGCGGACAAACACTTGCTGTCTGTCAGAGTCAGAGCGACTCTCTGCTGCATTAGGACTCGTGTACACGTGGAACTCTTGTGCGCGTGCTGCTTGTTTCCCTGGGTCCGTTTGGTTTTAACGCATTGAGTCAAGTCAATCTTCCTCTCTCGAGCACATCCGTAGGTAGGACTTGATACCCTGCTTGATACGTGCCCGACGATGCTGGAGACGTTTACAGCAAAGCCAATAAAGTCATTTCGCGACTTTTTTTGTATTTTTCAACAAATCATCGGAAGTGACGCAGGAATTAATCCACATTTGAGAGCATTTTCTTCGGATTAGTGTGTTTTTGGGGAAATATCGCTGGTGGCTGCTAATGTTGCTCAGCTTCAGTGTGCAAGCAAAGCAGCTAAGTTACGCTAGATAGTGGAGGACTTTTTATTGAATGTAATTTATCGTCGATTGTCTTTCGAACCGCAGATTCTCTCCAAAAGACTAAAAAAACTTACATGCTAATATCCTGCACTATATCATATTTCAGTCCGCGGTCAACTGTGCATGAACGTTGCATCTTGGTTGCGACTGCAAATGATGTCGACTGGTTAGAGATCTAACATTTTGTGCATCACCAGTGGAGCTGATTTCTCATCTAATAATGTAGAAGTAATTCTCAAATAATGTATTCATACATGCAGCTCACGCATATCGCTTGCAGGAGGATGTCCGGCTAGATCAGTCAGTTTTTTCTTAGTCACAGACTATTTTATATGGAGGGAGTGGTAGTGCCTCGGTTTTGCATATTTGGATGGTAAATCAGACAAGTCCTGGTGTTAGTCATTTGAGTGTAAAGAGGCAGGTTACACTGGTTACTATTGCGCCTCCTTTTGTTTGCATTTGCGCTGCGTAACTTTACATCTTCATCGCCCATTATTTTGATTGTGAAGACCTCAACACTGACTGACTAGTCATGCTATGATCATATAGTGTCAGGAATTCAAATACTTCGCATACAGAATCGTTGTGAAATGCCTCTACTGTAATCAAGACTTTGCTGTTACTTGAACTGCTCTCCAAGGAGACCTATCTAGACTTGACATCCATTGACTGGTCTGGCTTGCAGAAGACTGCCTGCTCCACCATGCGCCTGTCTCCTTTCCTGGCTGTTTTCCGGCCTGCTCTGCCCCTCATCCTGGGCCTCTCTTTGGGCTGTAGCCTCAGTCTCCTGATGGTGTCCTGGACACAGGGGGACACTGATGAGGCTTGTGGAGATGAACTGGGAAATGGGAGACTCATACACAGTGGTCATATCAGGGATCTCCAGGATGGCCAAGATGGGGATGGGAATGAGGACTTCCAGCCTCGCATTGTGCCCTATCACAAGGACCCCAACAAACCACACAAGAAAGTTCTCAGGTGAGTCCTCAAATGTCAGTTCAGTTTGGTTTCATTTCTCAGATAAGACTGAAATCTCAGTTATAAAATGTTCTTTTAGTTGATATGTATAAATCATTCACAAATTAGACTAGGTATCAGTATAAGAAAAGAAGGCCATAATGTAAAATTGCAATGAGCTTGACTTAACTACGTAGATCTAAAATAATTTATTATTATGAATTTAGCTAACACTTATGAGTGTTGCAATCCAAAATTATTTAAAATTTAATTTGGCTCATGTTAGCATCAGTAGTTAGTATAGAAATATGACTTGTTTGACTTGACAGTAAGTAGTAAGGTCTCAGGCAAGTCTTTTTCACATCTCCTCTGTGCTTCTCTCAAAGCTGAATTCTCCACCACTTTGTGAAGCCGCCGACATAGAATCTCTTATTATTATTCAAACACCTGTGGATGCATATACAGGGCAGCCATGCCATTACCCTTAGACCTAGTCAAAATGTTACAGGTTCAATTATGAACAGTTAACTTTAAAATTCAAAAACAGAATTCAAGAATTTAAAAAACAAAGTCGGGACTGAAACATCAGTTAAATGAGATAAGATATAAGAATAAGAAAGGGCCTGTTTTTTTCATCCCAAAAATAAAAAAAAATAATGACAACAATTTAGATCACAAAACAACTTAGCATAAATAGAAGAGCATTAATAATAATAAAATATAATGCATTACAAAATTATTTTGTCAGGACTTCTATTAGAGTAGCAACTTCCTGTTTAATTTTTTGTTGTTGAGTTGAGCACATTCTACCTTTTCCATTATGAGGAAATCTTATTGTAAAAACCTTATAGTAAAATGTTACCAATTAAAAATAAATACAAATAAAATAATAATATGCAGCATTTAAAGTAGAAATGTATTACATTTAATACAATGAAGTGAGTTTCAGTTGGTGCCGGTGCCATTATCCTCATGTCACCAGTAACATATTACAGCTTTATAAATAATTATGGTGACAATAGGGTGCCATAGCAGAGGTAGAGGTCATTGAAGCAGTTCACTTTAGAGATCATAGTAGCTCTCATTTGTCTCACTCAGCTGTGTAATTGGCTTAGATCTCTATCCCATCACTCTTGGCCAAAACCTTTTCAGATACTATGTATATAATATTTGTGTGTGTATATATATTTATATATAATTAAGCAGCACAACTGTTTGCAACATTGATAACAATAAGAAATGTTTCTTGAGCACCAAATCAGGATATTGGGGACGGGGTATGTTTACATGACAACGATGTACTAAAAATTAAAAAGTTTTCCTTTGCTTTTTTCGCATACTTACAACAACGTTGTGAAAACTATCCCCGTTCACACAGATCCACGAAAACGGCTAAAATCGCTAGTTTTAATAGTTGCCACTTTGTAAAGAAATATAGACTGAACACCCATTACGCAACACGCATGTGCATGACGTCACCGTTTTCACAAATTCAAACCGTTTACACGGAGACAAATCCGACAATAACAGTATTGTTTTCAAAAACTTGCACTTTGAAGATCCAAAACGCTGTTGTCTTGTAAATAAATGGCCGAAACGCATAAAGTTTTCCGTTTTTAGTTGAAAACGGTGTTGTGTAAACAGCACCCTAGAATGATTTCTGAAGGATCGTGTCACACTGAAGAATAAAAATTCAGCTTAGCTATCACAGGAATAAACTACATTTTAAAATATAGTAAAATAGTTATTTTAAAAGGTAATAATATTTCAAAATATTAATGGTTTTACTGTCTTTTTAATCAAATAAATGTAGGTTTTTTTGAGCATAAGACACTTCTATAAAATAAATAAAAAAATAACGACAAACTTTAACAGTAGTGTATATTTACACTAAAATGAAACTGTTCAGTTTCACATTTTGTTTGTTTGCCACAGGACTCGCTACATCCACACAGAGCTGGGCATCCGAGAACGGCTCCTGGTGGGCATCCTGAGCTCACGTGCCACTCTGAACACGCTAGGGGTGGCAGTCAATAAAACAGTAGCTCACCATTTTCACCGTACCTTCTTTTTCACTGGCCTACGGAGTGCAAAGGCACCGCACGGCATGGCTGTTGTTGCTCATGGTGATGATCGACCCGTCTGGCTGATGTATGAAACTATACGGCACCTTCACCAACACCACGGCAATGAATATGACTGGTTTTACCTTGCACAAGATGATACGTACACACAAGCTGAAAGGGTCATGGAGCTGGTTAATCATCTTAGTGCGGGACAGGATATGTACATGGGACGAGCAGAGGAGTTTATCGGGGGTGAAGAACGTGCCCGATATTGCCATGGTGGATATGGGTATCTGTTGTCACGTAGCCTGCTAGCCCGACTGCAGCCCCACCTGGACTCTTGTCGAAATGACATCCTCAGCGTCAGGCCAGATGAGTGGCTTGGTCGCTGCATCATCGATTACCTGGGTCTTAGCTGTGTGGAGAAGCATCAGGTGGGGGAGCGCTTTTTAAATCAATGTAAATGAAAAGCTAAAATCACTTACTGTATACACTGTGATTGTTTGAGCCTTTTGTCAGAGTAACCACAGTGTAATTTGCTCCTCCTGAACTTAAATATCATGATCTCATAGTGAAAACAAAGTAAATATTGTTTTGTGCTTGGTCATTTGCAATGGCTTATTTTCTTTATTAATCTAGCCCAAAACAATGCACGGAGGGAGAATCTGTTAACACCTGGATTATGATCAGTGCTGTTGTGATCTTTTAAAATGATGTAGGAGATGACCTACCGTTACTTTGAGCTGCAGAAGAACGTGGACCCTGAGCGCGAGGACAGTGCACAGTTTAAAGGCGCCTTCACCGTCCACCCCATCTCTGAACCTTTCCTGATGTATCGCCTACACAAACGCTACAACCAGATTGAACTGGACTGGACCTATGCACAAATTCAGCAGTTACAGGTATGTTACTGTACCTCATCTTAGAAGATAAATTATCTCATTTTCATAAGCTACTAACTTCTAGCCAGCTGGTTAAGTTCCCAGTTGTTACCCTTAGGCATGTGCAAAAACCTGATCCAGAATCAGCACCTTCAGTTTGAGAATGTATTATGACCTTGTCATGCATCTTGACTAAGGTGTACCTTGTTGAGACCTGCACAATTTAGCATTTTATTAAATGCATGCTGTATTTGGATGTGATATGTCTCTGTTAGCACCGTCAAGATTAAGTAAATGACTTTTTGAGCAAATACACAATGCCAAGGTCAAGTGTAGTCGGTTGATGTGTGTACATGCTGGACGAAGCCATGCTACAATCACATTATCTACGTATATTAGTCTGACTTTGCAAATATTTTAGATTTCAGACTAAAGCATTTAAAAAAGATTAATCACTATTTTAGTACAAATTAAATTGCACTGAATGTAATCTTTTAGATGCTTAGCTTTGACATAGTCTTTCATGTCTGCACAAATATGCTGTACAAGTAATCGGGCAAGGTTTTTGCCATCACGCATCACATAACAGCAGGAAATGAACTTGAAATTAATTCTCAGCTTTTTCCACTGCCTTTAGATTGGATAGGATGACTTTGTCTTTGAGTCAAGGAGAAAACTTGCCTTTCTGCATAATAAATGAAGCGATTGATAGACATAATGTGCCTAAAGCAAAGAAAGAACTTTCTTCAAAGAAAAGATCCTTTTACCAGTTTAACGTTATTGCTGCTCCTTAAAATGACTTGTTCTGTTGTTTTGGCCACAGAACCAGATCAATAACATAAGTGACCTCACTCCAGAGGGCAAAGCCGGAGCCACGTGGCCCATCGGAATCAACCCACCATTCCGACCCAAAACCCGCTTTGAGGTGATCAACTGGGAATACTTCACTGAAGAGCATATTTATTCATGCGCTGACAGCTCTCCGAAGTGTGAGCTTCGAGGTGCGGACCGGGCAGATGTCAATTCAGTCCTGGAGACTGCAGTGGGCCGCCTGAACGAGCGTTATCAGCCCCAGTTGCGCTTCCGTAAGCGGCGTCTGCTGAATGGGTACCGACGCTTCGATCCCACACGAGGCATGGAGTATGTGCTGGATTTGGCCCTGGAAGCTTTTACGCAGAAGGGTCACAGTCAGGTCATCGCCAAAAGGGTGAGTTTGCTGAAGCCGCTCAGTGCTGTCGAGATCATCCCTATGCCATATGTGACAGAAGCAACACGAGTACAGGTCATCCTCCCTGTGACGGCACACGATCAAGACTTTGTGGGTAACTTCCTTGACATGTATGTCATGAATGCTCTGGATACCCATGACAATGCTCTGCTCACCTTCTTGTTTGTATATGACCCCTTCGATGCCCAGCGAGTCAGCCAGACGGACGTCTTTGCCGGTGTCAAAGCCATGATTGGTGAGGTAGAGAAACGTTACGGTGATGTAAAGATTCCTTGGATTAGTGTAAAGACTGAAGTTCCCTCACAGGTCAAGCTGATGGACATCATCTCCAAGAAGCACCCAGTCGACACCTTGTTCTTCCTGGCCAGCGTATGGACTGAGGTCAACGCCGACTTTCTCAACCGCTGCCGTATGAACGCCATCAGCAATTGGCAGGTCTTCTTCCCAATCCACTTTCAAGAGTACAGTCCCGCTCTGGTCTACCGCGACCAACAACCTTCTGTCGCTTCATCGTTTGCATCTGAGGCGCTGCGCGATGGCCACTTTGACCGCCACGTCTTTGAAGAAGCCTGCTTCTACAATGCAGATTACATGGCTGCCCGCACAAAGATGGCGGCTGACATCTTGGACAATGATGAATTGCTTGAGAGCATGGACGTCTACGAGATCTTTGTACGTTACTCTGGGTTGCACGTGTTTCGGGCTGTCGAGCCGGCGCTAGTTCAGAAGTATGTGCACAGAGAATGTAACCCGCGGTTCAGTGAGGACATCTATCACCGCTGCGTTCTCAGTAACCTCGAGGGGCTGGCCTCTCGATCACACCTAGCAATGGCTTTGTTTGAACAGGAGCAGGCTAACAGCACCTGAACTGACTACTACTGCAACATTAAGATGGATTCAACTTTATGATTCTCATTTAGGTGGCCTTAAATGACCTACTGATATTGATCGAGTGAATTTCACCCTGATGCTGTGAACTTCTCTGCACAGTTCATCCAGTGACTCAATTCAATTAAACACAGTGAAGTTACCTTGTTAAAGGGATAGTTAACATAAAAATGAAAATTCTGTCATCATTCACTCACCCTCGTGTCATTTTCTTTCTTCTTCGGATCATAAAAATATGTTTTTAAGAATGTCTTTGTTGTCCATACAATGAATGTCAAAGGTGACCAATTCATCAAAATCCCTTTTTTTTGTGATCTTCAGGAAGAAAAGAATGTAATTCAAGTTTGAACCCACTATAAGTTGAGCAAACAATGACTGAACTTCCATTTTCTGGGTGAACAATCCCTGTAAGGATCTACATATGGTGGAATTGACTCATAAATGTGACTAATTTAACCAGAGATCAATATTCATGAAGTCTTCATAATTCACTTTAAATAAAACCTGAGAAATGGGTTTCACCTCGTTTACATAATTACCGATGACTGAATGCAGGAACCTGACGTTAGGAAGTGAAATGCATAAGGAACTCATTCATCTTTTACTATTTTATGTATATGTCAGACTTCTGATGGTTAGTAGAGGTTCTAGTCTCAGCTATGGAAGTAACTTGAGCCATCTTTCTTCCTTCAGATATATGATTGTATGACCTTTAAACAGAATGTGCTGAATATTTCAGGATTGAATAAACAAATTATCTGTGAAACCTGATTATGAGTCATCATGACTATGATGCAACCCAAAGTCTGAAATATTTTTATTTTTGCAAAGGTCCCTTTAGGGGCTCCATACAAAAGACAGTAATACATGGTTAAATGGCTCACTGAGTTCAAATGTGTCTGTCGGGAGCTGTTAAGATATGTAATGTTGCAAATGTTCACATCTTGAACACATCTTAAAAGTGAAATGATTTCTGTAAATCCAGTGATCAAAAGCTGTGGGTCTCTCAGTTTTCAGTGATAGACACATGACTAGTGGCTGGCTAGACCTTCTGAACGTATACAAGCAGCAGTACGCTTTTTAGAAAGGAACATTTTAAAGATAAAAACAGTAGGGAGAATCAGTGGCGGTTCTACATTGAATTACACCCTGGGCGAGACCCCCTTCGAGACTCCCCTTATTTTTTAATAGAAAATTGTACTTTGCATAATATAGGCTACTGTAAAAACACATAATTATAGTTGATTTTAGTTGATCATTATGAAAATTACTTTCATTTCATGAATATAGTGACCAAAATGATCACGGTTAAACAGAATCTTGTTCAAAAAGTAGGCCTAATACACAATGAAATCTATTCACCAAGTTAATAACATTAAATATGATGGCCAAATTTTAAAGGAGTGTCTTTTATGTTATCTAATAACATGTACACGTTCAAATAAACTTTTGACAAAAAAAGGTTTTATAAAAAGATAAACCTCACATATTTCAGCCTTTAAATCATCTTTATAAAAAGAATGAGTCAATAAAGATAAATTCCTGACATTTATAATGCACAGTACTAGCTTATCTTTTATTATTAATAGTAAAATTCGGTCCGATTTTCCCATGGCTGTCGTTGCTATACAACCATACACTGCGCTCTCCACAACGACAAAGAAGTTTTAGTAGCTAATGGATTTCCACCACAGAAAAACGCTTGCTGTAGCTCTGCTAAAAGATTTATTTACGGAGAAGAGAAAACACCCTCGTGTTTGGGTGCACCCCCATACTGAAAAGTTTTAAAAATTTCATCTCGCTGCTCCTGGAAAAAATGAGCGCGTCGCTTCAATTATGAGCGCGCTTCCCGTGCGCCTACATTTGAAACAACGACCTCGAGCGCGCAAAAGACGTATGTGAACTTCACGTTGGTGAGTTACCTCCAATCAGGAGACTCCCTTGACATCGCTTCTGTGCACGGCACCTTCTCAGCAAGCAGGGGCGCCATTGCCAATAATTGAATTGAAATGATAGAAAATAGAAAACCTTAGTGGCGCAGAGGATTTTTTTTAACTGCTCGTGCCGCCCCCCCATGTGACATGAAAAAATGCCGCCCCGGGCGACTGCCCGGTTCGCCCGTGCCTAAAACAGCTAGCAGCTACTGGGGAGAATCAATAAAATATGACAAATGTACTGCCATTGTGGGAATAACATGTAATTGTAATCAAGTCTAATGGCTCGTTTCCACCGAGCGGTACGGTACAGTACGATTCAAAAGTCAGCGCTCTAGTCTAAGGTTACAACGGTAAAGTTAAATAGCCTAGGCTAAATATATAAAGTTATGAAACTTCACTTAGCCGGCTAGGGCGCCCTCAGTCAAAACGATTGGCCAGGGAACAAATCATTGATTCACGAGACCAAAGATCGCCCGTTAGGTCTACACAAGACGAATTCCATTTCATGTTTAAGTTAACCACTACAGACACGTCAGAGTCAGCGGCAAACGCCAGAACGACCAGCCGAGGAAAGGCTGTTCAAGGCGAGGTAACGTTGCATGAGCGCCGAGCGCCCGGTGATCGAATACGTGACTTCACCGCGCTACAGTCTGCAGCGAGGAGTAGCCTACTGGCAACGGAAGGGTACCGAAAAAGTACAGTACGGTACAGTTCAGCATTTTGGTACCATTCACAACTTTTGACAGTGGAAACGGAAACAATATTGCGTACCGTACTGTACTGTACCGCTCGGTGGAAACAAGCCATAATTGTGAGTATTTTAAAATGTAATATAATCTAAATTATTATTATTTTTTTTAATCTGATTACATAATCCAGATTACGAGTAATCAGTTACTACTACCCAGCACTGCTTGAGAATAGGTTGTTAGAGATTGTTGTACAAAGGGTGCCATACTCTTGAAGGACAGACTTGAGGAAATAAAGAAGTTTTAGATAACTAGCTTTGTCTAGCTCACCAGTCTGCTAAATCCCCTCTTCAGTCCCCTCCTTTATGGCTTTTCAACTTGAGATGAAACTCAATTCAAACTGTAGACGTATGTTTAGAGGGGCCAAAGAGATATTTGTGTGAAATGGCACCTTTATTCTCTTTAAATGGCTCCTTAACTTTATTTATTTTCACTTTATTCCACAGGGAACATGGCTTAATACAGTATATTCTCCATCTGACTGTATGGAAGTCTTTCTCCATGCTGCTATTTTCATGTATTTCAGAGAACAGAGGGGGGCCCTGTGGATTTTGCCAGGTCAAGAGTAGGTATAGGTAGTGAAAGGTTCTTTCAAAGTGGAGCGTGTGGCCTACTGCTGAATACAAACACCAGTTTCCTCATTGGCATAATGACACATTTGTCCTAAAAGAGGAGTTAATAAAATAAAAATACTGAAGGACATTAAAACTCCCTGCTGATTCAGCACTACTGCAATCACAAAGTATTGGATGTCAGAGATGAGTCTTTTATTCTCAACTATCAGAATCGTATTATCAAGTTGTGTTACTTAGTTTGATTCAGTGACCACCACTGCATTAATGCACATCTTAAGAATAAACTCTCAACACACTTTCAGTATGGTGTTTCATTCACAAACTTTGGCAAGCGCTTGTTTATTTACATCCTCACTATCCTACACAGGTACATCTGTAGTTTAGATCTCTCTCGCTGAACAGTGGAACAAGGTGAGAATGCAAACGTACAGACTGAGAGAAGAAAAAAAATACATAGTGGGCCATTAAAGCCTACTTGTTCAGATGTCTGCTGGCAGTACTTCTATAAACAAACCGGGGATAAACATGACACCATAAACAAACCTATTATTAATGATGAAGATTTCAAAGCCCAGTGGAACTTTCTCTTAAATACTTGAGACATTTTATCAAAGCATTCCAATCAGCGTTCATTTTTAGCACCCAAACAGTTTGGATGTTTTCCCTTACAGAAGCACTGGAGGGCAGCATAATGCATTCACTGCACCTCAAAAGACACTATGACTAAAAGCAGGAGATGGTAACATTGAACATTTGAACACACGATAGGTAAGAAAAGCACAGTTGGTGGCTTGGAGAGCAACAGAAGAGCTTACTTTACACATGAGAGCAGAAAACCTTGTTCAGTTGCTAACACAGTCCCACAGGCAGATGTTATATTGATTTACAACTGTTCATAAACAACAGTTCATAATGTTCAAAATGGCTGACTATATACATGTAGTACCCAAAATATTTGATGGGAGGTGCTGTTGTTGCCCAACAGGCTCTGTATAAATCATTGGTGTGCTTTTCTTATCCACATATTAAAATGCAAAGTCTTTTTAAAAGACAAAACAAAACAAAAAGAAAATAACACATGACCTAAAATGGCCTCTGCTGTACATGTTGGGTTGGTACTGTATGAAGAGACTGTCATGACCCAGCCAGAGAGGGTCACTAACTAAAGAAACTCAGTGCTCTTCTGATCAGCTCCCAAGCAGTCAGAAGGTTTCTCATGTCCTTGTATGAAAGTATAAAAATGTGTCCATGCAGCATGCATAGGTCTAAAAAATACTCTGAGTGACAACACACAGGTCACTAGCACTCCTCCCTCCTCACGAGAAGATGTGAACAGGCAAACTGCAAGAACACACAATAATTGACCTGGACGAGCCATCCTTCAGCTGACATTAAAACAGCAGCAGAGGGTTCATGATCAAAACCCAGAGCCAATGAGAACTCAGGACTATACTGCAATGATGAAACCAGTCTATAATGCCAGATGGCAGTACAGTGTTTTTCAACATTTATTCCCTTAGTTCATCCTTCATGTCTTTACTTTTTTTTGTTTAGGTGACACATAATTAGCATGGAAAGCTTTCAGAGAGCCCAGTCATGATCCATGATTTAGTGCAAAGACTATGAGTCATAAAGCAATTTTAAAAAGTGTTCTTTTCACAGCTAAGGAGACACATATGGGGAAAATGTGTACCGGTATTTGTAAAAAATGTGTCCTTCATCTTTTAAAAAACTTCATCTAGTAAAAGTCTGTACACTGTCTTATAAGTAATTTAGACCTTTGGTAAAACATCAAGCAACACTAATCAGAAACAAATGCCCACAGGGTGTTATTTAAAACCGCACTATTGAAACGGATAAAAAATAAATCACGATTTAAAAGAAATTCTCAAAGAAGATGGTAATGTAATGTGCACAGAAAAGGTTTTGGTGAAGCATAATAAAATGTCAGAATATTCACTTTTATCTAGTTGACTACTGATAATCCAGTTGTTAAGTCTGACGTTACTGCTTCCGGGTCCAAACGCTCCTTTAGATCCCAAAACTAAACAACAGACGGTGCTAATATACACTCACGGTGAGCCGTAGTTCTACTGAAAAATCATGATCCTAACCTTCTATCTCCACACTGAAATCCCAGTTGACCAGACAGTAGGGATGTAACGATTCACTCATCTCACGATGCGATACGATTCACGATACTGGATTCACGATACGATTTTCTCACGAATTTTTTAACAAATGAGATTTAAGACAAAGTGTCCCTTTTATTATTTCTCAGACAAAATGCTGCACATTTCTTTTTAATTTAAAATATACACTCACCGGCCACTTTATTAGGTACACCTGTCCAACTGCTCGTTAACACTTAATTTCTAAGCAGCCAATCACATGGCGGCAACTCAGTGCATTTAGGCATGTAGACATGGTCAAGACAATCTCCTGCAGTTCAAACCGAGCATCAGTATGGGGAAGAAAGGTGATTTGAGTGACTTTGAACGTGGCATGATTGTTGGTGCCAGAAGGGCTGGTCTGAGTATTTCAGAAACTGCTAATCTACTGGGATTTTCACGCACAACCATCTCTAGGGTTTACAGAGAATGGTCCGAAAAAGAAAAAACATCCAGTGAGCGGCAGTTCTGTGGGCGGAAATGCCTTGTTGATGCCAGAGGTCAGAGGAGAATGGCCAGACTGGTTCGAGCTGATAGAAGGGCAACAGTGACTGAAATAACCACTCGTTACAACCGAGGTATGCAGCAAAGCATTTGTGAAGCCACAACACGCACAACCTTGAGGCGGATGGGCTACAACAGCAGAAGACTCCACCGGGTACCACTCATCTCCACTACAAATAGGAAAAAGAGGCTACAATTTGCAAGAGCTCACCAAAATTGAACAGTTGAAGACTGGAAAAATGTTGCCTGGTCTGATGAGTCTCGATTTCTGTTGAGACATTCAGATGTTAGAGTCAGAATTTGGCGTAAACAGAATGAGAACATGGAACCATCATGCCTTGTTACCACTGTGCAGGCTGGTGGTGGTGGTGTAATGGTGTGGGGGATGTTTTCCTGGCACACTTTAGGCCCCTTAGTGCCAATTGGGCATCGTTTAAATGCCACGGCCTACCTGAGCATTGTTTCTGACCATGTCCATCCCTTTATGGCCACCATGTACCCATCCTCTGATGGCTACTTCCACCATGTCACAAAGCTCTAATCATTTCAAATTGGTTTCTTGAACATGACAATGAGTTCACTGTACTAAAATGGCCTCCACAGTCACCAGATCTCAACCCAATAGAGCATCTTTGGGATGTGGTGGAACGGGAGATTCGCATCATGGATGTGCAGCCGACAAATCTGCGGCAACTGTGTGATGCCATCATGTCAATATGCACCAAACTCCCTGAGGAATGCTTCCAGCACCTTGTTGAATCTATGCCACGAAGAATTGAGGCAGTTCTGAAGGCAAAAGGGGGTCCAACCCGTTACTAGCATGGGGTACCTAATAAAGTGGCCGGTGAGTGTATATGTCAAATAATAAAACTACATTAAAAAAATTCCCTTCAAGGTTGTTTCAACTCAGTCTTTCTGTCTGTTTGGTCTAGAGCCTGGACACTGGTACCTTCACACACTATGTAAAAGACTGTAAAATTACCAGATTGACAGGGGTTTTACATTGTAATAAAGGCAAGATTCTAATTTTGTTATAATTTGTATAATTACACTAGTAAGAGTTAAAAAAACACACATTTAGAGAAAGAGATAGTAAAATAAATACAACACCTGGTTGCCACGGAAACACTGATGCACCTTGTGATCTCCGTGACTCTCGCAATTGTCGTATTAATGACTTTTACATGAAAACGGAGGTAACTGGTGCTTCTCACGGTGGTGATTTATTATTAGTCTACGGAAAGTCAAAATGCCGCCACACCTCCGATTTGAATGAGTCAACGTCAACATCTACGCTTGCCGTCGCCACTACTGTTTGACGGCGCGTGCACACCACGGCGCGAGCGGAGCAAACCGAGCGTTTTCAGTTCATTCCTATGGAAGTTGAGCTTGGCTCACACAAGATCAAGTTCCATGAATGAAGTGAAAGGATGAACACTCGCTAGCTTCACGCCAGTGTGTGCTCGCTGCTATTGTGCCTGTAAAGCGAGGTTCACAACTTCACAGTAGGCTATACAGTAAACACGCCCTGCTGTTTAAAACGTGTTTCGCGATCATAGACGTGTATCACGATTCGTTTAACATTTCAACCGACTTGAATCGTCACACATTTTTTATCGATTTTCAACCGGTTGCGAGTGAATCGTTACATCCCTACCAGACAGTGATTCATCTGTATCGTTAAAATATTGGCGTCCGTGACACTGTGAGCTTAGAAACTGTATAGTGTACACCAGGGGCGGATCTACAGGGGGGCAAGGGGGGGCAGGTGCCCCCCCACTCTAGAGCCTTGCCCCCCCAGCTGCCCCCCTAACTTTGATGATCCAAAAACTGTATTTGTAAAAACAACCTGCCACTATGTCCACAAGCTTCGCAAAACAATGAACTAAAAAAATACATTTACCAAAAGTGAACAATTTAATTTTAAATATATTATTAGCCCCTCCCCCCTGCGTCCCTGATTCAAACGTGCAGAGCGGGCGGCGTTGGCGGCTCACACACACACAGCGAGTCTGCTGCGGTAAGGTGGCCCTACAACCCGACTGGAGAGAGTGAGCTTCCCCAGAGCCTCTGAAGGTGAAGTGAGTTTCCCCAGGTGTAGTGTAAACACACACGTTTAACTTAAAGTTACATTTGTAATGAATGTATTGTATACTAAAGACGATTCAGCATCAGCAAAAACAGCGCGTCTATTACATTAGCCAAAATCAGCGGTCAATTCGCTCCCTCGTGATTTGTAAGAGCACTCTTCCCTTTGATTAGCCTAATTTTGATTTTAGTAAAGACAAGAACAGCTTAAGGCGAGACACAAAAACATCGGGTTTTTTTTCACTGGTTAATTTTAAGATTTTGGGCTATTTGTCTTCAATAACATGTCTTCTTTCAGACTTGTGGTGAAAAAAATTCCAAAAAAACACATTTAGGACTTTATTTTACTACACTTTGTCTATTTGCGTCAGTAGATTTCTCCTAAATTCAACAAAAGTTGTCGTTCTAAATCAACATGCTGCTCCGCGATCGCTGCATGTCAATGTCATCACATACATCTCCGTTGGAAAGCTCTCTCTCTCCTGTACATTGTTGCCGTATCCAAATATGGTAATTTCCTTTTAATCAGCAACCAATCGTGAAAGTACAATGGGCATTTAACTCTAAAACCAAAATCTCATTGGCTGATGTCAATTTCTGACAACGTGATTCGTTCAGATGCATCACGTGACGTGCTCTGACATTTAGATATGCGTTTTTGACTGTTTTTCTGTTCAGTTGAAGCCCATAAATGCTGTGATTTAGGTGGTTTGTATTGTTGCTAATGATTTGATAAGATATTGTGTCTGTAAATAGTTGTTTCCACTAAAAAAAGTATGATTTTTTACATTACAAATCTTTAAATGCTGTTTTCTCAAAATTAGTTTTTTGTCATTCTCCAGTACAAACATCTCAGCTTGTGTAGCACATATGTACACCAAACTTTCCAGTTATACACTTAGCAGTATTCTGAAGATATTTTCAGAGGGATTTGTTAATAAATCATTCCTAAAAACCTTTGTAGTGTGTAAGGGCATGATTAAACAATAACATTAATCATTTAATAATGATTAAAAGTGTTTTTGTGTTTGTTTTGTTAAAGCAATTCACATATAGGGATTCCCATGTACCGTCTACCCCTGCCACCCTGCCAAGACCTCTTGCCACCCCTTTGCCCCCCCATGTAAAATTTTCTAGATCCGCCACTGGTGTACACTGTAGGTTTTTAAAAAGCTTAGCTTAAATGTGAATAAATAGTGCTCAAAAATGAGTATTCAGTATTCTTCAAGAGTACAGGCTTTAACCCAGAAGCAGTATTCAATACGTCACAATTTAACAAGTAGATTATATTTCTAAATAACTTTTGTCATTATGCTAGGATGGCCTATTTTCTCCATATATGTGACAGCTTCTCAAAAACCGTGACCTATCAAATTCCTTCAAAGTGAACTAATGACTATGTCAGTACTACTGACCTACAAAGGCAAAACGCAGTAACTTCACATAATTCAGAGAAAGTACCAATACCAAATCAATCAAAAACTTTAAAGCCATTTTCTCATTCTCACTCAAGTGTAGGTGTAGTTACTGTGTTTTGTCTTTATATGGCAGAATAGCTTTTAAATACTTGATTAAAACAACCTCATTCGATCTTTCAATGCTTATATACACTATTTACTTAAAAAACGCAGCTAAATGTCACTAATGTGGCAGGGACAGACAGCAGAGTGTGACATACCCTGTAAGCCACCGGTTCAGTTAATACTGAAGGATGCTTCTTTTAAAGCTGCCTGCCTCAAAGTACTTCATAAATACACTTCTGAATAAAAGTGTAAATAATGGAGATAATTATTGTAGCTCCACTGATTCCCAACACTGATACACATACAAAATGACCTTTTTGATCAATACTCAAGAAAAAATTTGATTCAAGTGGACTAAATTAGAGATGCAATCAATACCTCACCAAAAACACGTTTATCACATGGAAATTGTGTGTGAAAACCAGGAATTGATGATTGAGGAAGGAAGGCTGAATCAAAACTGCATCAACATTTGGATCCACAGTCAATGGGATTGAGCCGGCTCTGAAGTCATCACGTTCAAAATACTGGTGGACGTGAGTGGTATTAAACAACAGAAATCCAAAGAATGCATTGTAAGATGACTTCCTCCCGGAATGGAAGACACAACACTGTGATTGGCTGAAATGCACAAACTGTACAATGGAGCTGCAGTGGCTGTTGGAGTAACAGGGTGTGATAGGTCCAGTACAGTAGATTGTAGGTCAGAGTGAAAACAACGATGACTGGACACGCACACAAACCCTCATTCACTGTGGACAATAATGCAGGGACCTCCACATGGAGGCAGTGTTGTCACAAAGGAGCCGTGTTGTCTGAACGTGGTGGGTGTGGGTTCTAGGTGTTCCTCAGGGCCAAGGCCTGCTCCAGCTCCTGCCTCCTCTGCTGAATCTTTAGAAGGGGAAAGTAGATTAGGAAGACATAGAGCCAGTCAGTTTTTGCAGGCAGTGCAGATGCCTGACAAACCTCACAAAAGATACTGACATCCAGCCCTTTACATCCTGTTTTCTAGTAGACGAGCAGAAGGTTCACACAAGTAATCATATATTTTTACGCGCTTACCTTGCAGTAGAAGTAACGGCTGACAGCCTCCTGAGACCAAGGCTGATGATAAAACTCTGCTCTCCTCTCTTCCTCTGGGTTCCCAACAACATCTGTCATCAGCTACAAACAATCAAAAGGTGATAACAGTAAGAAAAGCAGGACAATGACAGGACAAACATGATGCAGGACATTGTTTACAGAGACGCATACACTACACTAAAAGTTTGGAGTCGGTTAGTTTCATTAATGTTTTTGAAAGAAGTCTATTATGCTCTTTATCAAAAATACAGTAAAAACAACATTATGAAATATAGCTGCAAGCAGCAATTATCGGGGCCAAGCGCAAGACGACGACGCAAGAGATGCCAACATGGCTGGGAGTGTCAGACCAACTGCAGTAAGGAGCAATTACAGACATTTTAAGAGGATTTTGGGCAAATGGCTGAAAAATCATATACAATAACATATAAGATGATTTAATGGTTTATCACTTTCGACCAATAGGTGGCGCAGTTACGAAATCGATGTGATGTGGTCAGAGTGAAGTGACAATGACACATACAAAGTTTGGTGTTATTATGTCAAGGCATTGCAGAAATAAAGCCTGAAGTGTCAATTTGGCATCATGCCTCAACTTTGCTCCTGCGGCATATGAAAATGGTTTCGTCTATCGACACGAAATCCATAACTTTTACTCGGCACGGTCTGGAGATGATACGGTTCGATTTTGGTGAAAATCGGACAAACGAAGAAAATAAAGATGGCGGACAGGAAGTTTGGCTGACTATGGCAAAATTAGTATCTGTTTTCGGCATAACCCAAGGAATCTATTAAGACCAGTGTCATTATAATAGGCATATTTATTCAAAAGTTATTAGCATTTTTGGAAATTTAATTATAACTTTTGACCAAAAGGTGGCGCTGTCTCAATTTTTTGAGAACCTTCAGGGCATGGTGCTGATGGCACATAGTGAGTTTCGTAATGTTACAGCAATGAATTCGTTAAGTATAGCATTTTACATCACAATACTATATTGAAGTCAATGGCAATTTCATGTTTTGTTCTATTATAACGCCAACAAGTGGCACAATCCCACTAATTTTTTTATGTGTCCTTAGAGTGAGCCCATGTGTGTCAAATTTGGTGAAAATATCTCATTTTGTTTTGGAGTTATAGACATTTATATGCATAAACACATAAAAAATGACCCACACCTGACTTTGTTTGAATTTTCTTGCCACCTACTATTAATATTTTGACATTTGGGCATTAACATATACCCAACGACCTATGTTTCCAAACTTCTGACGGTGGTTTCGTCTCGATCGGTCAAACGGTTTCGAAGATATCGGCAAATGTTTTTTTAAGCGCTAAATCACAACGCTACACAAACCGTAAGGCAAAACCTAGCATGTTTGGTATTGTTGGACTCGGAAAGGATTCAGGAACTTAAGTGAACTACACCCAGTATTATAAGCATTTGAAAATTTAATTTTACCACTAGGTGGAGCTGGTTTGAAACTTCTCAGGCTCCTTCAAGGCATCGTACTGATGACCCATACCAAGTTTTCCGTCATGAAAATTCGTCCGCCATTTTGAATTTTTCTAACTCCTCCTAGGCCGTTGCTCCGATTTTCACGAAAATTTAATCAGATCATCTTCAGACCATGCCGACAAAAAGCTATGGAATTCATGTCGATTCGTCAAACCATTCTCGAATACCACGCAAACGATTTTACATAGCGCTTTCAAAAACAGACGTAAGGCTGTATCTCCGCGACGCTTTATCGTATTAAGACCAAACTTGGTACATGTCATCACAAGCATGACCTGAGGCTACATGCTGCATTTCGGCACAGCGCCACCTACTGGTCCGGAGATATGAAAAGTGACTATATTTGCTTATAACTTCACAACGATTTATCCAAAAATCATAAAAGTGGTCTCGTTAGATTTAGGGCATCATGCCGAGTCGACTGATATCCAATTTATCCATATCGACCATTTTAGGCGTCGGCCATTTTGAATTTTGTACCAAAATGCTGTATTTTATGAACGCAGGATCGTATCATTACAAAATTAGAATTTTGTTTATAGCCCTTAGGCCATATGTCCACCAAAGTGTTTTTTCATGCGTCTGGGTTATTTTTTCAATTGTTTTCAATGGGAGCGCCGCGTTTTTAGAACGCCATGAGCGTAACGAGGCGCTGAGCGTTTTTTTCACGCTGAAGCGCTGAGCACTCTGTTTTTTACAGGTCGTCGAGAGTTGAAGAATGTTCAACTTTGGGTAAAACGCCGCGCTCATCACTGTCACTTTTTACCCAATCGTCCAATCACAGTGGAGGAGGGGTGGGACTAGTACCACACCGACCAACCGCCACATTCTACTTGTACAACGTCAACAGATGACAACAAGCAGCATAATAACGGAACAAAATAATTTAAAACAAAAGAACCAGAGAAAATACATTACATTGTATCGACATTTTAATATAGAATCAACACAGAAACAAAATATGTGTGAAATTAGATACTAGTAAGTTGTAGTAACACTTTCGCGGATATTCCGTATCATAACAAGCAAAGTGTCTCAACTGAAAAAAAATGCTGCGCTTCCAAAACGCTCTCAAGTGCCCATAGCTAGGCGTTTTCAGAAAGGCGTCCAGCGTTGTCAGCTGACTAAAAACGCTTTGGTGGACACGCGGCCTTATGGTTCAAAAGTTATTAGCATAAACATGAGTACAACTTTGGACAGTTGGTGGCGCTAGAGGGATTGAGTTAGAGACTCCAAATTTGCTATGTTGACAGTTCAGACTGTCCTCTATCAGTGTGCCAAATTTCATAACTTTACCGCAAGCGGTTCTATGCCACAGACTTCCAGAGCGGAAGAAGAAGGAAGAATAATAATAAGAATGCCAACAGATAAAATAGGTGCCTCCGCACCTTCGGTGCTTGGCCCCTAAATATTACTATTACAATTTAAAATACCCTTTCTATTCTAATATATTTTAAAATGCAATTTATTCCTGTGATGACAGCTGAATTTTCAGCATCATTACTCCAATCTTCAGTGTCACATGATCCTTCAGAAATCATTCATATATGCCGATTTGGTGCTCAAGAAATATTTTTGATTATCATCAATGTAAAAAACAGTTGTGCTGATTAATAGTTTTGTGGAAACAGTGATACTTTTTTCAGGATTCTTTTTTAAAAAAGTAAAAAAACAGAATACACCGTAGTGTATGAGAGCTAATAAAGCTTTGGTTTTTTACTGGTTGACACTACTGACTATGAAGCAAATATATTCTAGAAGCTTCTGTAAATCTGTCTCAAAGTGTGTAATTTCTGTATCATTAACAGCAGCAAACACAACTGCAAAATGTATTTCCAGAGAGGTTTACCAAACACTCCTACAGCCCCTTCTGACCTGTTCCAAACAGGTTATCCCGCCCCAAACTCATGCCATTGGTTGAGCCAGAAGTTGGCATATCAGACCACTCAAACAAACTGAGCAATGTTTTGAAATCGGCACAGAGCCACTATGTCTACACTTTTTGAGACCTCAGCCTACAAATGGCTTTCATGCATCTGTCTCAGCACATTAAACTGACATAGGAGAACATACTGTAAAACTGAGAACACACTTCATCTTCAAAAATATACATTATATAAATATCAAGAGTCATGTATAGAAGAAAGAAAGCTGATGCAGACCTTCAGATCTCTGCTCTGGGATTTGAGCCAGTCCTGAATGTAGCCTTTGGGATCTCTGGAGAAGCTGAGCATGAAATCTCTCTGAATCTTCAGCTGATTAATGGACTCAATAGTCTCATGGATCTGCAGATCATTTAGAACCAGATTGAAAAATCAAGGGTGTATTCACAGACATGGCAGCACTGCAAAACTGGTTAAGTCCTGATTATTATCCTTCTGTCAGTCGAAATCAGAGACCCTATAATTCAGAATAAAATGTCCAGAAGTTCAATTATCTGCTCTATTTTTGCACTAACCTTGTTGTCCAAAGAGGCGATCTCTTGCTGATTGGCTGTGGAGAGCAGGAAGCTGCTCATTTGTGCTTTAAGGGGATCTTCCACCTCTACATCAATGTCATAGCAGGCTGTCTTTTTTTGATCATTAGGGTCGACACTGTACAAAAATAACCTCAATGACACTCCTGCATGTTTTGTGTTCTTCAGAAAATTAATAAGAGCAGATAGAAAATACAAACAAGGCATAAAGACCAAACCAAAATAATATACTTTAAAATGTAATTTATTCCTGTGATGTCAAAAATGAATTTTCAGCATCATTACTCCAGTCTTCAGTGTCACATGATCCTTCAGAAATCATTCTAATATGCTGATTTGCTGCTCAAGATTTGCTTGCTGTATAAAAGATTAATTTCTTTAAAAAAATCTTATTGACTACTGTATTTTGGTAGATATCTGCAATAAATGTGACACATTCGTACGAACAAAATCACATAAATACCTAATGATGTGGTTGATGACAATAGGGTCTGGGGGCAGTAGAAGGTTGGTGAGCCGCTGTGGAATTTCAGAGAACTTCAGGCGTGGACAGTCAAAGATCTGTGAGAGGAGATGAGGTCAGAAACAAAAAGTTCTCGATTAAAATATTGCATACGGTCTTTACATAATAATTCCAACATGTTTCTGTGAATTTTGGCAGTCTCATTTTAATTATCAAATACATTTTAAGGGTTTAAGTGAAGCTGATTCATTCAATAATTACAGATTGTGACAAATGTTAATCAATGCTTCTTATCAAGCGTACCTGTTGGAAGTACTTGTCACAGTTGATGTACTCCTTGTCATGCGAGTCCTGCAGTTTGTTGGTTTTGACATACTGCCAGAGGGCCTGTATGATACTGGAGCGAGTCTGTGTGTGTATCCCAAGTAGACGAGCCAGACGCGGATCAAGCTTAAACTGAGGCGGCTGCACACAGGACACAAGAGTATTATGCTTACATTTAATACACTTTTCAGTCATTTAATACATTATTAAGTTCAATTAACTTAAGTTTTAATTTTAAAAAGAAGGCCAAATAGAAGAATATTAAATAATCTATTTTGGAATAAACTCGCGATTTTTTTGAAAACTGTGACTGGGTAACGTACTCGGTTACCTAACGTAACCTCGGTTCTCTCTAGAGAGGGAACGAGTATTGCGGAACCGGCCGTGCTCGCGCCACGAGCGATTTTCGCTTCAGATGATGAAAACCAGGGAAGCAGCCTCCGAGCCCTGCTTTTATACGCTAAGCCACACCCACTTGAGCGGGCTGTGATGCGTAGTGGGCGCGAAATGTCACCATTGGGCGTGACGTCACGCCAGGCTCACTGGTAGGCTGCTGCAGTTGCCGTAGAGCAGCCAATGAACACGCTAGACAGCCTGCTCTAGGTCTGCAGCTGCTGCACTGCGTTGACAAAGTTTACAAAATTAAGGATAATTTTGGCTTCAGTATCTCGAGAAAAAATTAACTTTACCCGTAGCGTAAGCTAAACTTACGCAATACGAGAGAACCTCTCATAAGAGAAATGCACTTTTTTATTTCACAAAATAAAGCATTACAAAATGATTAATAAGTAAACCTGCTGCTCACAGAGTTCCTGTTATGTTGTAATATATATGTGATATTCACCCTTCACTATTATGTTCACTATGTCATCAACTTATTATTTCAATGAAACTTCCTGGTAAACTCAAAGCTTTGAGGTCTGAAAGAAATTTACAATCAAAAAGCAAATCACACAAGTTCTTGTTCTATAATTTGAAATGACAAATGATACAGTTTAATCTTGCAGGTCATGATCAATAGCCTTCAGCTGATATACATTAGGGATGTGCATCTCCATAGCTGAGGCCGATGCGATACGCATCTCGATGCATAGCCAATGATACGATACATTAAAGATACATATAAGCAGCTACCGATGCGATGCAATACGATTCACTACTCTTACGATGCGGTGCGATCCGATTCAACGCGATGTGATTCAATGTAATACGATGCAATGGAGAAAAATATGATGCTATGCAATTCAATATGGTATAGATACTTATTCCATGGTATAGATATGGTATAGATAGAAAACTTTTATTTCTTTTATTCAGACATACAGCAAAAGTAGCTTAAGTGCCATCTGACTTTTAACGCATATTCTTACATATTTCTTCACAAAACCAAAAGATTAAATAAAAGCAGGTGCTGTTTTAACAAAGAATAAACATAAATAAATAAAAAACTTTCACAAACATGTCTTTCATAACTGTATTCAGATGTAAAAATATACATCTATGGGAAAAACTATTATTTGCAGTCACAGGCTTCTGTCCAGATTAACTTAATGTTCTACTTTAAGGTTTAAAGGTGACTCTCAGGACACGCCTCGCACTCCGTAGTGTTGTGATCCGTCATATTCCCGTAGCAGCGCAGCAGTGGTGATGAGAGAACGCGCTTGAGCAACAGTTCAGAAAGGAGAAATCGATCTAGTCGAACTGGACGCGCGAATGAGGCGAAATCGTGTCCATCGCACCGCGCTAAACGCGTCTCGCGCCGCAGGACCTCCAGACCCGCGTCAACGCGTCTTTACAATGACTTAACATGGAAATCTCTCGCTACAGACGCTCTATCCGCGTTCGGTGTGAACGCAGCAGTTACATAATAAAATATTGGTCACAAATGATTGGTCACTTTCTAAATAGTAAAAGTATAGCGCATCTACTAATAATTATATATGAATAAATCGTTTTTTACCGATGCAGATGTTAGAAACGATGCATCGCGATACAAATGCCAACTTGTATCCGATGCACACTTATTTAATTCGATGCATCGCATCGTTAGCTTTTATGCCGATGCACCGATGCGAATCGGTGAATCTTACCATCCCTAATATACATGTAAATGCCACTGGATGCATTTTGTTGTCTTTACCTGGTAATCCAGCATTAACAGCAGGGTGCAGCGCACGTTAACATCTCCAGGCCTCTTCACCTGGAAACCGTCTGTCTCCTGAGTGGTTCCGGTACGATGCCACTGTGCAAGACAAGAGAAATCAACATCATTTCACAGAGTCATTAAGGAAAACAAAAACACAGATTTGCAGAAACTGAAAAGAAAAATAACTTAAATGACAGTATCACCACACATCTTTAATAAACAAAGTGCTATATGGCATGTTTGTATGTCCTATAATGAAACATACTGTAGGACATAAATAATAATATAATACATAAATAAATATAATATATTTATAATGGTTTTAGCTCTTGGTTATAGGAATCGCCAATATTAATACATTTTCATTTAGGGTGATAAGCAGAAAATCAAACACCAACCTCAACCAAATGGTTATCAGGGCCGTAAAGGTCTTTGTCAAGCTCAATCACCAGACTCTTGAAGAATGAGGAGAACTTCCTCTTCATCTTAGCAGGCTGTGAATGAAAGCATGAATAGTTTTTCAGAGTGTGCCACTGAGCAAACTATCCAGTTTCAAGTATAAAGACATTTTTGTAAAACAAGAACCCTACACAACATCATAAACTTTCCGGGTAGACTTTCTATGGAAGAGTACAGCCTAAATGTTCAAATGAAATGTGGCATACTGGTGGATGATGTGCTGTGCGGGACAACATTCCATTCAGCCAAGAGACGGCATGAGTCCTTCAAGCTATCGTCAATAAGTACTAGTTTCATTTCTTTCTGCATGGAAAAGCATGCCTCAAGAGTATTAGCTAAACGGGTCTTGGTTAGAGACCGAACCAAGAGGCTGAATTTATGCTGCATTGCGTAAACCTTTAAGAATTTAGTCCTTGTGCTTCAGGGGCCGTATTCACAAAGATTTTTATCTTACCACTAGGAGTACTCCTAAATCGCACTAAAATATTTTAGCTAGGAGTTTTCTCTTAAAAGTTATTCACAACGCCTTTCAGACCTACTCTTAGTAAGGAAAAATGACGACTCCTAAACTAAGAGTGAGTCTTCGTTGCTATGGATGACGTCAATTCTCATGCACGAGCTTCCTCGCAATGATCACGGTGATTGGTTGTTAGATGACAGGGCCATCATGCGGAACATAACACAGACGCAACAAATCATGGAATTACGACATCTAAATATGTCTGTGTCCTACACAAAATAATAATAGTAATGTCATCGAAATGCATATGTTTGTGCATACCCCAGTGAAGTGTAATTCTAAAAAGGCAGAGAGAGAGAAAAAAAGTCGTGAATTAAATTAAATTAAATCAAGGTAGCCTACCCTAATAAAAAAACAGCCACTTGCCTAATAATGAAAAACGACACTTGCATTAACACTTTAATTGACATCCTATTAGCCTAAATAGACTAAGGAAATGTTGCTCCTATTGAAGTAGCCTAATGTAATAGTTGGATGACGGTGGATTATGAACTCGCCAAAACGGAAAAGAAAGCCCAACTGGACGCAGGATCAGTGTGTTCACACCGAACGCGAATAGAGCGTCAAATACGCGTCTATCGCGTCTAGTTAGACGCTTGAACATTCGCTCGAGTTCAAATTTTTCAACTTGCGCGGAAGACATTCGCGGCAAACGCATCGCCCAATTCGCGTCAATCGCAACGCCCGGCGCGAATGATACGTCTATTCGCGTCTTTGCATTGACTTTGTATGTAATCTACTCGCGCAAATAATTAAATTCGCGTTCGGTGTAAACACACCATTACTGCTGCTGGCTCAGTTGTGTTTAAAAAAAAAAAAGATAAATGGAAAATTCGCCACTGGGATATCAAGCAAAACACACAGGAAATTTGTTTGCAGATCAATGCAGCATTCCCGCTTGTGTCGCGGACCCCGGACGACTGCGAGAGGCGGTGGTATGCGCTACAATCCTTGGTCTTAGTGAGTTAGGAGTCCTCTCGACTTCTTTTAAGCTGTCCCAGACTTAGGTGCTACTTTTAGGGCTAAAATGCTTCGTGAATTACTCTTAGTGAAACAAATTAGGAGTCCTAAAGTTAGGTGACACGCCCCTTATTTTTAGGAGTTGCTCCTAAATTCGCCAGTTAGGAGCTACTTTTAGCCTTAAAATTCTTTGTGAATACGGCCCCAGTTCATTATCTTCAAAACTCTTACAGTATATATATAACTGTAAACCAGATGTACTGATGGGCTGCAATCACATGAATCAAACCAGTACATTAGCACGTTTGTCAGATCATAAACCAAAATATGCTTTCAACAAAGAAAACAGCAACATTCAATATTATCATATAAACCTATATTTGCACTGAATGCTGAATATTATTTATTCTGCTATCTTTACAAAGGTAATTGGTATCGTTACATAGATATGAAGGTCATGAATGTAAAAGTTTTTTTCTTTCACTTGCACAGATCAGAAACGTTTTGCAGCCATGGCTCCAGTGCTTTTGTGGCCGTAGGTGAAGGGGACAGGCATGAGCAAAAACAAATGTGCGATGAGCCTCAGCTTTGTCAATAAAAACATAAAATATACTTATGTAATGCTGAATTACAGATAGAAGGTAAGTTACCCAAATCTACTTTTAAAGAGGCAAAACTATTTCTGGTAACTTCTAGTTATTCGTTACAAATGTAATGGGTGGAGTTTGCTCCATATAAACAGCACTTCATGAATAGTTATGTCATGTCACTTCCTGGTATCTCACAGTGATACGATGCAAAAGCAACAGGGTTTTATTTTTTAACTGATCATGACATGATTTTAAAGATTCAAACCAGTCTAATGCTAACATGTATAATATTCATGTTTTATGTCTATACATTTCAGTAATGCTGCACATGCCGGCTAGACTGCCAATGTAACTGTATTACAGGAATGATGCTTTTTAGGTTGAAATTTCTTTCTGACAATAAAAGCATGCCACAAATCCTGTTGATAGAGCTTCAGATGTCATTAACCGAGAATTTTCCTTTAAGATAAGCATTGTTGGCTAAAAGTTAAAAACAGTCCAAGTCAATGGACCCACAGAACTTTCTGGCATGTATGTTTGGATGGAGGCTGGGAAGTGATCTCACTGGTAAGTGAGGCACATGTCTGTGGTCAAGACTCTGAGCCTGGAAGAGTAAATTTAACCTCACTAATTCAAAAGGCACATAGCTGCCATTCACAAGTCATGATGTCAGAGACAAACATTGATCAAACATTGCAGACAGTTTATATGTGATATTTCTTACCAATAAAAGCACCAAACAACAGCACCTCAGTGTTTTATAGTAAAAGATTTAAAATAGCTGTATTGTGCAATTATTGATTAAAGTGCAATTAACTCACATCATCCAGCAGTTTGCCCTCCACACGAAGCTCCCAAGATGCAATGCTGCCTTCAGAGTCCTCTGCATCAGGCTTGGCAGGGTTAAACGTGTTGGAGATGTAGAGACGCAGTTTTCGCTTTTGCTTGAAATAGAAAAAAAGAGTTTATCTAAATATTTATCTTCATCCAATCCTCAAGATGATATTAGTATGCTCACAAAAATACAGAAGCATTATGCAGGGAAAAATGCTTTTAAGCTGATAATTGGTAAAATATTAGAAGTTAGACACTCTGAATAATGACACCAGCCTCATTTTATGCTCATTTAAGTTGTTTTGTGTCTTATCCTGTTGATTTATGCAAGCAATATTTAAAATGGTTCAGTAAGAAATGAAAATTCTTGTCCCAAGGTTCCTTCTGCTGTGTTTTAAAAGGTCTGATATATAGGTTAACAAAAGTGCTAAGGCATATATATTTTTAATTGGCTAGATAAAACAGATCTTTTCTAAAACATGAAATTAAAAAGAATATGGACTATCATGGGGATGAGAAATACCTTCATGGGTCTCTTAAGTGCCTCTTGGATGTCCACCCGTTTGCGCATTATGGTCTGGTCTAATTTGCGCTCGAATGCCAACAGATCCATATACGCCTGTGACTCCGGAACAAGCTCACGAATCTGAAAAAAGAATTCAATAAAACCTCATTTTGTAAATGGCAGCACTGGTAAAGAAATCCAAACAATCCTAGTTATTTTCCCCTCTTGTTCTGTGGACGATAGACTGAGGGTTTTGTCAATGACTAATGCGTCTGGCATCTCCACTGGAGCTGTATCTATCTATATTGCCTGATAACACACACGCATAGTGCCGATTATCTTATCTAACACAACCAAATCACAGTGACTATAAAAAACTAAGAACAGAATCATCCTTAACAATAACATTAAAACCCCATTTAAATTTTTTAAATATAAATAATAGATTTCAACCAACAGCCATCACCATGAACCCACAGCAGTAATGCTGTCATATATGTTAAGATTATTTATTATATATTGCAATATTGTCTAGAATACATATTTAAAGAAAAACTCATATCTGGATATTCTTTGTGATATATATATATATTTTAAAGGCCTGCTGTCAGTATGTATTGTCTGGTTATGGCGACAATTACTGAATGCAAAAGCCCTCCAAAACATTCTGTCCATCGTATCGCTTGGTTGGTAGAGGATTCCGCCCCTCTAAAAGGCCGAGATAGAGAACAGACATGCACGCCAGAGCATTTTCATCATTACACATTTGCACACACACACACAAAAAAACCCAGTCAAACCAATGAAAGCAATGAAAAGGCTCAGATCTCTTACTCACCCTTTGTGGAAGGATCTTATCAGCCATCTTCCTCCTCTTGGCACTGCAGAAAGAGGGAGAAAGGGGAAACAGAGAGGAAAGGCAGAAAAAAACCCAAAGATGTTACTATGGAGACTGACAGTGGAGCACCCGGGACATCTGCTAAAATTCTGGGGCTGGTCCAGGATGCGGGAAAACCGGTGTGGGAGTGTGTGTGTGTGCCTCGCCAGCCCAGATGGTGCTGGCAACCATTGGCACAGAGGACGTTACTAGAATCGTTACTGCTTAAACTTGCACAAGTTGAAGCTTGGAAAGCAGCAGAGGTCCACAGGACCAGCTCATGTTGTGCAGACAGGTGTGTTGTATGCTCATAAGTATATTTGTGCTCATATACTGTATGATTTATTTGAACACAAACGATAATGTTGTTTTGTACACTCAGAAGCAGGATCCGTACAGGTAACAATCACCAAAACAAAACCCAAAAGTGCAAACACTGTGAGCAGATCAGGGAAACGATCACCATGTACAATTTTTGTTATTCCACAATGAATCTCTGGGTAGAACTCACTAGCTTATGAGTTTTTTTAGTAAAAATAAAATAAAAAATATATAATAAAGATGAAATAAAATCAAATATTAGCACACTTTTGCTTTTTTCCACCAGCGATATATTTATCCCATCAACTAAAAGATGCACAACTCAGTCGGCCTGACTCATTAATAATACATATTTAGTTTTTTGTTAAAACATTTAGAGATGACACTTTGCATTGAAGTGTAAAACAAGCTCTCACATATTACATCTGCCATCATGCCATGCAACAGGACATGCAAGCACATCCATGCCAAATTCAGCAAAAATTTTAATAACGTTAAATCTTCAATATTTTTCAGTGACTTAAATGCCAGGTTAGATCAAATAGACTGACATCAACTGATCTACAACTGAATTAAAACATTGCTGTATGAATAATCTTCGATAATAACCATCAAACATCAAGGTTGTGGTAAATCAGAAGTGAGGGGGGAAATCCTTGTTAGGGATATGTCTCTAGAGACAAGATGTGCCAGGGGGTAAAGGGGTCAAGGCTCGGGGCAAGGGTGGGATCAAAACGTGTGAATCCATCATGCAGCAGAATAAACTCCTACTTTGATCCGAGTGTGGGATCTGATTGGGCCTCTCTCATGTCCATCTGCCTCCCTGGCATCTCATTTGGTCCAGGAAATCCCACAGGCTTCCTGATGGCATTTGAAGGGTCCTTCATTAGAGGGTACTGAGTGTGTTTGTGTGCAAGTTAAGAATTGCTGAATATTTTGACGGCACATCACAAAAAGCTGAATAGACAAAACAGACAACATGGGAGTTGCACAAAAACCAGCAGAACTAGAGGACAAATGATCTGATAAGCCATGTGTGGTTATTACACACACACACACATACAACTATTGCATTGATTAGTCTGATGTAAGACAGGAGGGTTGTAGTAGCAATGCAAGATAATGTTACACTAATGTGTCAGACAAGGTCGACAGACAGAATGAGCAAGTATGCGAATCAATGGAGCTGAGTCAGAGAAGACACAACAGAGAGAGAGAGAGAGAGAGAGATCCAGAAAAAAACAAAGAAACAAGTATTATATAAAATATTTCTCAGTGAGTGGCCCCTTTCTGTCACAACAGCGCAGACAGTGGTTGGCCAGCAGACTGAAGACTCTACAGATCAGATTAACTGCAACTAAACACTGCCCAAACTAAGACATATGTCACAAAGATTTGTGATACAAGACCATAGAGTGGCCCCATTTAAAACATTTGGGAATTTCCAGAGATTTACAAGAAAGGAGTTTGGGCCATGTCGGATCAATCCTCTGATAAAAAAAACAGCAAACAAATGGCACCCAAGAACAAACAGTGCAACTGAAATTAGAAGAAATAAACATCCTAATAAGAAAGATGCAAAATAAGAGTGATGAGAATAACACAATGTCCTAAACAGTTTCCAGCAACAAGTGATTTATTTCATCACAGTCAAGTGAAACTGTTCAGCAACATGATGCAATTAAAGAGAAACAGAAGATATGTTGATGTCTAATGTACAGCTACTCTGTATGGAGCAAAATTTTTGACCAATGAGATTTCACTGTGGACGGGTGAATATTAATATTCCTTCCTATAATACTGTTTTTGGGTTGAGGCCTCTACTCAGTTTCAACTGAGAATACCATTTCAAAAGCCGTTTATGAGCACTGTTCTTTTATGGCACACATTTAAAGGTCCCGTTCTTTGCGATTCCATTTTTCAAACTTTAGTTAGTGTGTAATGTTGCTGTTAGAGCATAAATAATACCTGTAAAATTATAACGCTCAAAGTTCAATGCCTAGCGAGATATTTTATTTACAGAAGTCCCCTTTCAAAGCCTACAGCGAACGGCCGGTTTGGACTACATCCCTCTACTTCCTTTTTTAATGACGTAACTAGAACAGTTTTTTGACTACTTAGTTCTCCGCCCACAGGAATACACAAAAAAAGGGGGCGTGGTCTTGTTGCGCTCCCACGGAGAAGAGGAAGAGTTTTGTTTGTAGAGTGTGTTTGTCGCCATGTCGTCGAGACGCTGTTATTTGAACAGGTTCTAATCGATTCTCTTCATCTATGTTCTCCGGGTCTGACTCCGGCTCAAATTGATAAGGTAATATGTTTGACATTTTAACAATAACAATCAGCACATGCATCGCCAATTTATGGTAAGAGGCGTGACCTTTCCGGGCAACGTGCGATAAGCTGCTGTCGAATCACAACACAGGAACCGCTGGCCCAATCAGAACTCGTTACGTATTTCTGAAGGAGGGACTTCATAGAACAAGGAAGTCATCGGGCCGTGTTTTGGACAGTGAAAACAGCGGTATACAGATAAGTAAATTGTGTGAAAAATACTGTGTTTTTTTACACACGAAACATGAACACATGTTATATTGCACACTGTAAACACAATCAAAGCTTCAAAAAAACATGAATAACGGGACCTTTAAGCAAAGCTTTTAAAAACCTTCACTGTGTGCACTACAGTTTCTGGGCTCACAGTGTCCTGGACGCCAGTATTTTAACGATTCAAAAAAGTTGAATCACTGTCTGGCCAACTGGGATTTCGATGTGGAGATTAAGGCTAGGATTAGGGCTGTTGAAACGAATTCCGAAATGCGAATATAATTCGAATATTAAAAAAATCAATACTATTCGAATGCTGAAGTTACTATTCGAATATTGTTTTTTTATGTATATTTTAATTTTTTTATATAAACAGGAAAGAGGCCGCACTATGCATAAATTGTTTTATTTGCACAAACGCGTTTCAAGAAAGCACGCGCCGAAACGCGTTTGTGCAAATAAAACAATTTATGCATAGTGCGGCCTCTTTCCTGTTTAACGTTATATATTCTAATCATCAGGCCAGCATTCTTAAAGTTTAAGTTTAATCATTGAGTGAAGCCTGCTCCTATTCCCATTCATTAATTTTTTTTATATGGAATCTTAGGCTACTCGCCACCTTGACTTACACACATGTGAAAATGAAATGCTTTTGTTTCGTCTGATGAACAATAAAGTTTATGAATTGTAACACAATTGTGCACGTTATCCACGCTGTATCATCATAACAATACTGTCAAAAATGGTAAATGTTTAACAACGTAAAAAAGCGCCCGTGAAGCGCAAATATCTTGGTGAAAACTCAACGGATTCGGCGAGCACCAAACTCGTTGGAACCGTCTAGTCGAACTGAAAAGAACGATATAAGTTTCAGACTTTTTGGTGGTGTTTTAGCGGAGATATTAGCCAAAAACCATCGGTAGCGCTTCAACCATATTCAGCACGAATAAAATGTTTATTGTAATGTTAGATATCCCTCTAGTGGACAGAACGTGTAACAACAACCACATGCTATAGTGGCATTGGCGATCCATAAGCCTAAATAATGTCGTAAATATTAATAATAGGATGAATTTGAGCATTTAATATTCGAATATTATTCGAATATTAAATAAAATAAAGAATGGAATTCGAATAGTATTATAGAGGAAGATTGACAGCCCTAGCTAGGATTATGATTTTTCAGTAGTACTACAGTGTATATTAGCACTGTTTACAGCGTTTGGGTCTAGAAGCCGGATAGACCGAATAGAAATCAAGTAAGAGACAACATGCCTGTTGCTCGTTGTGGTCAGTTAGGACAAAAACTTTACATGAAAAATAAACTTTTTTTAAATCACTTTGCACCTGGTTAGTAGGATATAGTGTAAGGCTAAGAAAAACATCATGAAATCTACACTACATCAATACAGTCATAACCATTTCATTGTGAAGAGCTGTTTGCTATATTTTTGTAAATGTAAATTCTTTTGTTTCCCGTTAAGCTGCATGTACAGAATCAAACCTCATGCCAGCAAAGATCAAGCCATTCTGTTGAAACAGATTATTTGACAAGAATGGTTCTTGTCAAAGGAAAAAACACATCTTCCCATCCAACCATCAATGCAAAAGAGGCAATTGACATAATCAACTCAGCTGAAGTCATTCAGCTCTGACTGTATTGAACACTTCAGTTCCACTGTGTCCGTACTATAGATTGTAGGAATACAGTGACAGTGTAAGTCCTCAGGGGTTTATACAAAAGTGTTGTCTAGTATTAAAGACCTTCCAATCTCAAGGCAATGACACACTTTCACTGTCTTTTTTCCATGCTAATCTTGACCCTATGGTTACAGTGATTTTTAACAAAATAAATGAACAATCATCATTATTTACTCACCCTCATGTTCACCCAATCCTGTATGACTTTCTTCTGAGAAGATATTTAGTCAATTGTCAAAGAATTTGTCAATGGTCACCAAAATGTTTGATTCCCAACAGTCCCAACAAAATGTTCTTTTATGGTCTACAGAAGAAAGAAAGTCTTACAGGTTTGGAACGGCATGAGGGAGAATAAACCATAACAGAATATTTGGGTGAACTATCCCTTAAAGTAGCATTTCACATTTGTATTGTTGAAAAGGGGTGAGTGCTTCTTTTAACCGTGGATTACTGCTGCAAAATGGGGTTACTATTGCTTTTGCCAGGATAACCCAGAATGATGTTAACCCAGGATTAAAAATTAATGGAATAATGATTTTTATCTTTATTGATATGATAGTGGAGGGGGAGTTTGCACTCAAACCTGTCAGTTCTTATATGTTATGAACACACCACATCGCTGCTTCAACAGGGTTCACAATTTCAAAAGCCTACATAAGTCTACAACCTACATTAGGTTCCTGTTCTGATATCATCCTGTCATTTTTTTGTGGGTTCCTGATCATTAGTATATGTCATATAATACTCACTTCCTGTTTCGACTCTGTACGGCCTGCTGCTGCATCTGCTGCTGTGAAGGAGCGGGCCGTTTGCGACTGGCCTCCATGTTCTGATTGGTAAGTCCAGGCCGGACAGCGGTGTTTCCTACATATGGTGGCCCTGGAGGCCCCATTGGGGCCCCCTGATGAGGCATTCGTGCTCCTGATGGCATGCCAGGCCGCTGAAAAAAGGGTGACAACCAAAAGATGGACATAAGAAACTAAGTGAGGTGGAGAAAATGTATACGATTAACACACTCTGAAACAATAGTTTACAGATACAGTATAGAGTGAATCAGTATAATGATGATTTTTAAACATACATATAAATAACTGACAATCAATTGAGAAAAATAAATACTTTTTTTTTTAGATGAAAATGAAAAGTTTGAACAATGGATATAATATGTGCACCTGTGTTTATTTAAAGTTTAAGGTGAGGTGAATATTTAAATATCTATCACTATAGTCTGTTAAACCTACTAAATTGACTAGTTCAGAAGCAGCTGTTGTCTGCCATAACAGCAGGAGCAACTGCACACACAATTCATTCACAACCTACTCAACACTTGTGACACCAGAGACAACAGGTCATACGTACAAGAGCTCAGGACAATGAACAAATGTCTCCGAAAGAGTAAACCCATAGTCTTCTTGTCACACATAAATCTTTCCCCTGAGAACAGATGGTGTGTTTAAACTTTTTCTAATACAAACTCATGGTATTTTATCTTTTAGCTGCAATGTATTGCATTAGTTAAGTTGTTACTCTAATTACATTAGAATGAGGCATGGAAATGGTTTTAATTATGGTAAAATAACATTGAAACAACTTAAAGTAACAACAGGTAACTTTTCAGCCTTCATAATATATTTCCAAGTCTCTTGTGATGGTACATCGACTTACAATAGGTTGAATGACACGTCTGCCATAGCCTGACGGGGTCTGTAGCGTTTTTAATCGTACTTTTAAACTTCGGGTTTCGGGTAGTAACCGGCGAACAAAGAGAACTACAAAATTCGACTGCTTTACGGCATCTGTCACTTCCACCACCACCCCCACTTCCTTAAAATCGGACTTGCGAGCCAAATGTTATAGTCATGGGCGAAGCAGCACAGAAAAACAAGAAAGCAAAGGTTTTATCGGAGCAAAGCAAAAAGAGAAAAAGAGAAAGTGATCGCGTTAAAGGCAGAACGAGGATCAACATTGCAGAGCTGCCAACTCACGCATTGGCCGTGAGACACCCGCATTTGATTGGTTTCACACGCTCACACGTACGGCACACCCCCGGTTTCTCACGCTAAATTGTCAACCCGGTCGGTCAAATCCCTGAAAGATGAGTTTATCTATAGATCTACCTGTTGAGCCACTCGTGATCGACAAGTTATACCGCAAATTAGTTCAAATCTCCCGGAATCTAGAGCGAGCGCGCACGCGAGACAGAGACTGTGCTCCAACGCGCGCGGACGGCAGAGAGAGAAAGCGAGCGAGAGACCTTGCGTGTGCAGGGAGCATCAAACCCCCCATCGAAAAAAGAATGCCTCTCTCTAACCTCTCTAATTCGCTAGAGTAGTAGCGAATTATCAATCTGGTAGCTAGTAAACGATATTCTAGTTTTTGATGGTTAGCTATCGCTAGTATTCTCGTTCTGATTTGAACTTTGCAATCGATGAAATGCAAATAGCAAATGTTTGACCTAAAAAGTGTAGTCTACTCAACATTTACAAAGAAAGGAGGAAGATTATTAATAAAATCATATTTTAGGATACCTAACATGTCTGTGATATTTGTTTATTTGTCTTGCCTCAAGCTATAATGCAAATCGATTTGTAAAATTTGCAGATTCATTTATGGTAGCTTGATATTATAATATTGACGATATATGGTTATTATCAACCACTCAAACATTGCATTGAAGTATCATATAGATCCAGTAAAACGGTAACCAATAGACTAGGCTACTATAATGACGCTGGCTTGTAAACGTGAGCATCGCGATCATTTGTCGTTAAAAAAAATAAAACCCATGTAATTATATTCATATGACATGCTGAAATATATGCCACTGTACCTGGGATGAAGACATTTCACACGCGACGCAAGCAGAACACCTGCATGTGACCTCCTCCTACAGTGTTCAGGGCTATCATGGTTGTCAACAATTGCACGTGCATGTAGGATGACAGAGTTTACGACAGTAGTAGAGGACAATACTGTTTCCCAACTGTAGGGGGAGCCCGAGAGCAAAAAACTCCCAGTTGTTACTTTAAAGTAACACTATGTAGTTTTTCAACCTTCAATATTTCCAAGACCCTTGTGATGGTACATCGACTTAAAATAAGTTAAATGACACGTCTGCCATAGCCTGACGTGGTCTGTATCGCTTTTACTGGCACTATGTAACTTCGGGTTTCGGGTAGGAACCCGTGCACAAAAAGAACTACAAAATTCGACTGCTTTACGGCATACGTCACTTCCCCCACCACTTCCTCAAATTGTCTGTGGCCATTGCAGACATCCGAAGTCTCCCGGGAGTCTCCTGCGTCTCCCTGATGCCCGCAAATTAGTTCAGATCTGCCGGAATCTAGAGCGCGCATGCGAGACAGAACATACTGCGCGCATAACATACATAGCGCGAGCACGGCTGAGAGAGAGAGAGCGAGAGACCTTGCGAGTGTGCCTCACGAAAGCTAGTCAACCCGCCGCTAGTCAACCCGCCGCTAGTCAACCCGCCACCAGCCCCCCCCCCCCCCCCGTCAACAATCCAGTCACCAAGATATACCTCCCTGAAATGACTTCTTGCAGGTTGGGATGTCTGCCATTGTTGATTCCAAATCCGGTGCTGGATAAACAGCGAGCGTGCGCGTGCGACAGTCGGCTGCGGAAGGCTAAATTATTTACGACAGCAGTAATGGACAATTCTGCTTCCAAACTGTAGGGCGACCGCTGAGGAAAAATCACATGGTGTTGCTTTAAAAAGTACTGTAATTGACATAACAGGAAATGAGAGATCTAGATTAGTGGGATCACTATTGAATTGAGCAGGTCAATACATATTAACATTATGAGCCAGATCTACTAACAGCTTGCTCCAGTGCAAACCCTCTTTTGGCATTAACTACTGTCAGAATTTACTAAAGACACACAGTGAAAGATTAGCGCTGAAAAGGCATTATTTTTGCGGCTGACCTCAATGCATATGCATTTGTAGGAGCTTCCATTTCAGACAAAAAAATTATGGAAGGAGAGTATTTAAATTAATAATGCAAGGTGTTTTACTAAGGTTTGCGCTAGTTAATTTAATGTTTTTTAATAATTTGTAAGAATCCAGTTCCAGTGAGATTTTTGTATACACAAGGAGTCTGACAACAGCAGGTATTATCCACACGGAGATCTGATCTCACCATCATCAAGTCCATCTGGGATTAGCTACATGAAGAAACAGAAAAAACAGACTAGTTTTAGAGACAGACTAAATCCAGAGGAACTGCGGCAAAAGGTCTCTAAAACGTTTGAAGAAACCGACCTGCAAAGCTACCTGAAAAACTATGTGCAAGTGTCCAGTGGACAAAAGCTGTTTTAAACGCAAAGGGTGGTCACACCAAATATTCATTTGATTTAGTTTAACTGATAAATAAAATCTATTTAAGACATTAGTTTTGAAAGCATCCTCAGTTTACAGCATTTTTACACAAGTGTCTAAAACTTTTCTCAGCACTGTAGATTTGCTGGTAGGTTTCTTCAAGCGTCTTGGAGAATTTACCGCAGTTCCTCTGGATTTAATCCGTCTCAGTTTTTTCTGTTTCTTCATGTAATCCCAGATGGACTTGATGATGGTGAGATCAGATCTCCATGTGGAGCACACCGGCTGTTGTCAGATTCCTCTCACTGGATTATTACAATTAAAACTGATATTTCCATTACTGACAAACTACAGCAAAAAAAAAAAAAAAAAAAAAAAATATATATATATATATACACTCACCGGCCACTTTATTAGGTACACCTGTCCAACTGCTCGTTAACACTTAATTTCTAAGCAGCCAATCACATGGCGGCAACTCAGTGCATTTAGGCATGTAGACATGGTCAAGACAATCTCCTGCAGTTCAAACCGAGCATCAGTATGGGGAAGAAAGGTGATTTGAGTGACTTTGAACGTGGCATGATTGTTGGTGCCAGAAGGGCTGGTCTGAGTATTTCAGAAACTGCTAATCTACTGGGATTTTCACGCACAACCATCTCTAGGGTTTACAGAGAATGGTCCGAAAAAGAAAAAACATCCAGTGAGCGGCAGTTCTGTGGGCGGAAATGCCTTGTTGATGCCAGAGGTCAGAGGAGAATGGCCAGACTGGTTCGAGCTGATAGAAGGGCAACAGTGACTGAAATAACCACTCGTTACAACCGAGGTATGCAGCAAAGCATTTGTGAAGGCACAACACGCACAACCTTGAGGCGGATGGGCTACAACAGCAGAAGACTCCACCGGGTACCACTCATCTCCACTACAAATAGGAAAAAGAGGCTACAATTTGCAAGAGCTCACCAAAATTGAACAGTTGAAGACTGGAAAAATGTTGCCTGGTCTGATGAGTTTAGATTTCTGTTGAGACATTCAGATGTTAGAGTCAGAATTTGGCGTAAACAGAATGAGAACATGGAACCATCATGCCTTGTTACCACTGTGCAGGCTGGTGGTGGTGGTGTAATGGTGTGGGGGATGTTTTCCTGGCACACTTTAGGCCCCTTAGTGCCAATTGGGCATCGTTTAAATGCCACGGCCTACCTGAGCATTGTTTCTGACCATGTCCATCCCTTTATGGCCACCATGTACCCATCCTCTGATGGCTACTTCCACCATGTCACAAAGCTCTAATCATTTCAAATTGGTTTCTTGAACATGACAATGAGTTCACTGTACTAAAATGGCCTCCACAGACACCAGATCTCAACCCAATAGAGCATCTTTGGGATGTGGTGGAACGGGAGATTCGCATCATGGATGTGCAGCCGACAAATCTGCGGCAACTGTGTGATGCCATCATGTCAATATGGACCAAACTCCCTGAGGAATGCTTCCAGCACCTTGTTGAATCTATGCCACGAAGAATTGAGGCAGTTCTGAAGGCAAAAGGGGGTCCAACCCGTTACTAGCATGGGGTACCTAATAAAGTGGCCGGT